TTGCCATTAACACATTTTTTGGTTGGACATTACAAGGTGCTAACAATAATAGCGATAGTGCTCATTGTGTTTTTCAAATTCGAGAAGCTTCAGAAGAAGGTTTCAAAATAGAAAAATTCTGTGACTTAGAGTCAATTCGCATAACAAGTTATGCTGCAAATAGCGAAAGAGAAATTATTAACGAAACAATTAATAAAATAATTTTAAATAACAATCGTTATGAAGTGTCGTTGCCGTGGCGTGATAATAACACTAAGCTAAATGATAATAAGCGAATTGCGATGAGTCGGTTACGTAGCCTAACGTTAAAATTAATGAATAACGCCGAAAAAATAATTGAATATGATGCCAGTATTCGCGATCTATTAGAGAGTGGTATTGCCGAGAAAATTCCAGTTTGCAATATTAATAATCGTGTTTATTACATGCCGCATAGACCAGCTATGCTTCAATAGCCGGTTCTTATTTAAGAATTACGCAATTATGCTAAAATATACTCAGATGCCATCTTTTTTAATATCGCCTAATTATTTTTGCCTTTAAGTCCAAATTTTTGCTATAGATGATTGACTGTTAAAAGTCTTTGAATAAAAAATAGCTCTTTTGATTATAGAAATAGCCGAGTTAATAGCTCTTTAGATCTTATGACACTTGTAATGTAAGCAGTGGCCTAGTCTTTAATGACTGCTTCAGCTTCTACAAAAAAATGTTCGTTTCATCAAAATCAAAACACTTCTACTTAACCGCTGCCTTTACATATCCTTGACGCTTCGGACTAATCGCTCCAAAAAGCCCCCACCATCTGTCTTTCGGGTTAATTCCAGTTGTGCCCTTATTTAGTTATTTGGATCACGAGCTCAACCAATTGCTCTAGCTTTTCTAGCTCTATCCAGCTCGCTGAATGTTTTTGCGTTTATCAATTTATATAGTTTCGGAGGACAATCTGACATAAACGTCGTTTAACAGATTTATGGCAACTTCAAACCGTTCATATCTTTAAATATAACTCCCAATTGTTACACACGAATTGCAAGCACAAGTAAACAACTAATGTAACTTTTTCGTTCAGTTACCTTCCACATCGCGCTTATTTATGTAAGAGACTTGCGATAGTCGTATTGCCCTTTTCAAGGCCTTGTGGTTTTATTACGCTCTACTGTAAGTGTCTGGTCTGATGCGCTTTTACATGAAGTTGCTTGATACACCACACGGACTAAGTATATTTTTATAATGTCTCCTCTTACAACCAAAAACTTTTCGCTAAGATTCCAAAACAGCATTAACACCGCCCATTGTCCGGGCTGATGCCCATTATTAACATTACGCTTAGATGACATTTCTTATGTAAAAGATGGGTTGCAGACATAATCGCTGAAAGCTGAGTTGATAATCGCCTTGACAGTCGCAATAACACCGTTGATTAAAATTGGTTAAACAACTAATGTAATGCTGGACCTTCATGTTTCACTA